CATGCTCCCACCCTGTAACTGGCCAACTAACTAAATATGTGCTTTAAAAAGAGGTATTATTACAAAAAAAACTCCCACTTTCTGGGCATGTTCATAAGGAGACAATTTGTACATCTACAAACCAGTTTATGATAGCTGAAAATTGGAAACAATTTAAATGTTCTTTGGAAGGACAAAAGATCAAATGGGGTTTTACTCATCTCATCCAATAGCATATAGCAGCTATCATAAATACATTCCTGCTCTATGAACTCATATGCTTCTATTTGGTTGAGGGGACAAAAGTTGTCCAACATACTATGAGACCATAAACAAGAAATGGAAAAGCTTTTGCATGAAATGTCCTTATGTGCAAATATGTACTCTGCTGTGCAAATTCCTACCCTCCCTAGAATGTCTTCAGCGTTCAAAGAAGCTGCCGATAATAGAAGTTACACTGACGACTGCAAGAGAAAAGTCCAAGTCTCTTTAAGACCACTTGCCCTATATGTAATTTCTTCCAAATCTTGAGCTCTTGGTGTCAATTTCCTCACGCAGGGACAATTAACTAGAGTTACATTTGCTTCCTTTCTCTGATCATTAATTGCTTTCATTTGAGGGAGAGAATGCACAGGACATCTTGAATATATACATATTTATATACATATATATTCCTTCCAAATTAGGGGATCCGCCATTAATAAATTACATAAAAAGGAAACCTGCTTTAGTATGTTTTCTGTACCCAATTAGGTAATTAAAATGCAATTAGCCTCTTTGTGCTACAGTTGGACTAGTTTGAATTATGACTGCAAGGGGATGCCCTGGTGTTAGGAGAGACTCTGATTTTACAGATGTCTCAAAGGAGAAAATCTCGTTTCTCAAGATACATAGCCAGCAATAGGCAAATGTGGGATTCAGACCCAGGCTTGTGGCTCAGGCTTTGTATACTGCATGGCACATTGCTTCTCACAATCACAGACTAAGACCTCAAAACTCCACAAGGCTGATTAGTCAGCCCAGTGATAAAAATAAAACAACCTCCTAAACCCTTGATATTAACTTCAATTTGCAAAATAATTTCTTACTTAAAAAGTGTATTCTGTCTCTCTTTCTGTGTATGTATGTGTGTTTGTGTCTGTATCTGAAGTTTGAAGGTTTTAATAATACCCTAGAATCAAAAGCTTTTTGATTCTCTCTGGCTTCTCCATCCGATTAACACACCATCACATAATTCATGCTGAGGCATTAGCACGCTGGACCCAGTGGGCTATTTAAACACTGAAAGTTCATAATTGTCCTCCAGGAGGTCAGCAAGATGTGAGCGTAGAGATGCTGATGTTCAATGGGAAAATCTTCCCCAGGGCTTGGAATGAACTTCCTTGTGGAGCTGTCCTGAAAGGCGCAGTATTTGGCTGTTTTCATCTGTGAAATCTTCTGGTGGGGCATGTGTGTGGGGGATAGTGGTGGCCACTTTAACTATCTGCTCAATGTTTTCTCGCTGCAGCAAGTACTTACAATATAAAATCAGAATTCTCAACATTTTACTCCTATAGAATATATCCTTTACCTCAGGAACATATTCCTTGTTTTTGGAATTATACCGAAGATTTCTGGACGCGTCATTAGGAAGAATAATTTCTTTTTAAGATGAGTAGCTGTCTTCAACTTTGCAGTTGCTCTTATTCACTCATGTGACCTCTCTACCTTTTAAAATAACTATATATACGTCTTAAAAGTAGTAAAATAATTTTAAAATGTACAAAAACTGAACACTTTAGTAGTGTACATTGATTTCAGATCTTATATAAATACTATTATTTTTCCATATGAGGCAACCATATACTTGGCTCAGATGACATATTTTTATATTCTGAATGTAGTGTGATACAATAAAATAGAATCGCTCTAGGAAATGACTTCTTTTTTACAATGTAATTCTAGACTTTCTTTGGCTCTTACAGTTTGTGTTTTTCTTTGCTTCCCCTGTGAGCAAAAGGATGCTTTCTTATTCTGCCTGAAAACTATAATGTCATGATTTCTGATATTGCTAGATAATAATATTAAATATTTTTAGTTCTAGCTAGGTTTTGAGAAAACTCAAATTTAGGAGTGATGGAAGACAGGATAGCAATCTTAGTTGCCAGCTCTTGCCTTTAGGGCACCCTCTGGGCGGTGCTGGAGCCTGTTCTCGCACTGTTGCTGTGAACTGCTGCTTCCCCCCAGGAGTGGCTGATTTCAAGCAGGGGTGAAAAGATGCCTGTAAACTACTTTATAATCGTTCAAATAAAGCTGACCAAACAACTTACGCTCTTTAAAATCACACATCCATTTTTACAATTAATTGCCTATTGTTCATTTAATTACAACCTATAATAGAAATGTGAAACCTTTAAGATGCAGTTTATAAAACTTCTATACTTAAATTGGATTTCATTATGCTTATTTTGTTATTCTGCAAGTTTCAGGTGCTAAATGATTTTTCTCTAGAGATACTGGTGAAATTCCACCACTGACTGCTCCAATGCACTCTTTACATATTCCTGAAAATATTTTCCTTTAAAGCTGACAACTGCCTACTCTGGGATCCAGATGCTATGCACTCAGTGTGATGATTTTGTTTTGCTTTGCACACACGGCCTTCTCAAACACTGTGTCCCAGGGATGAAAACTCTGCCTGTATAGAGATGTTTTAAAACTTGCCTGAAAATAATAAACACAAACTTTACAGTTTATGGCCATTTTAAGTTGGAAAAAAGCACATCCCTACCCATCATATTAACTCTAACAATTAGTCCTGTAAAGGGAGAAAAGGCTTTTGGTCAGATTGGTTAGCATGTCTGCTTAACGCTCAGCTCTCTATAGAGTCTAGTCCTCTGTCTACAGAGCTCCCTGGAGAAAACAGTTAAAAGCATCCCATGCAAATTTATAGCGTGTCTGGCCTCACTCAGGACCACTGTTGCCCGCTGGACAGGTTGGACACGCTGTCAGGCAGCTTAAAGAGCTCCAGAATTTTCTTTTTCAATTTTTTTAAATTTATTTTTTATAATTTATTAACTTTACACCCCAATTGTAGGCCCTTCCCTCATCTCCTCCTGGTCCCACACTCCCTTCCTCTTCCCCCACATTCTACTTTGCTAGTCCATTGACAGCTAACATCCTCCTATGCTACCATCTGATCCCAGCCTATCAGGTCTCATCAGGAGTGCCTATATCATCATCCTCTGTGGCCTGGCAAGGCTGCCCCATCAGGGGGAAGTGATCAAAGAGCTCGCAACAGAGTCAATGTCAGAGACAGCCCCTATCCCCCTTACTAGGGAACCCATATGGAGACTGAGACGCCTATGGGCTACATCCGAGTAAGGGTCCTGGGTCCCCTCCATGCATGGTCTTTGATTGGTGCATCAGTCTCTGCAGGGACTCCTGGGCCCTGATTTTTTTTGGCTCTATTGGTCTCCTTGTGGAGATCCTGTCCCTTTCAGATCCTTCTATCTCCCCTTCCTTTCATAAAACTCCGTGTGCTCTCCCTAAAGTTTGGCTGTGAATCTCTGCATCTGCTTGGATCCCCGGCTGGGTGGAGTCTTTCAGAGGACATCTACGGTAGGCTCCCGTCCTGTTCCCTCTCTTCCACCACTTCTGGTGTCTATTATTTGCCCTTCTAATTGAAAATTAAGCATCCTCATCGTTATTTAGCTCCTTTAGGTCCGTGACACGCAAGGTATCTATTCACTTATAAGCAGATATTAGTCATATAATACACAACTTCAGACTTTTCCTAGGAAGACATGGATGGAAATAAACTCAACAGAGGTAGTATGTAAATGAGACTGAAAAAATAGGGTGGGAAAGGCAGCACATTTCATCTCTATTCGTGAAGTTGGGGCTTGGTCTCCAGGAGAGTGCTCAAACAACGCTTTTGACTTGGACATCACACTGTACTCATGAGTTAGTTTGGAGACTTATTGCAGACGTGTTTTATCAGTGCAAAAAGCTGGGACATAGGGAGAAAAAAAATGCCCTGACTAAATAGTTTCATAGAATGATGGCAGCAGGCACGGGGCCCAGAATCAGGTCTTCTGATGTCACCCCAAAGCGTCCGGGATCTTTATGAAGCGGTGGTAGCTTTGGACTCTTATCAGCTTCCCCGTTTTTGTCTGTGCTCAGGAGGAGGTCCCTGGAGTCAGCCGAAGGCTTCCTCTTCAAGGCAGATAGAAATGGTTGGATGAAGTCAATGATGGTCCATCACCATTTAAGGACACCAGCGCCCAGCCAGGACTGAACACTCAGCTGAGACAGAGTCCTGTCTTCCAAGATGGAAACCGTTTCTCTCCCAAGCGCAGGCGATGCACAGGGCCCGGGGCCGCCTCCTAAAGCCCTCCTGCCGGCCCCCACGGGCTCACACATCCCCAGAGCCCAGCAGCGGCCTTGCAGAACCCGGGCCCGCAGCGCCCAGCGCGAGCGTCCCAGGCTCAGCGTCCCGCGCCGCGCGGCCCCGTCGTCACGGCAACCGGGGAGGTGCTGACCCCCGACCCCGCCCGGCCCCGCCCCTCGCGCAGCCCCGCCAACATGGCCAACCCGGAAGTGGCGCCGCCGCCG